CAGTCTGGAGATGCATCGGTTCTTGTCATTCATTATCCATGCAAATCAAGAACACGACCAATTGCTGAGTGATTGTGACTCAGTGGGCATTGGGCAAGTGACCATTACCAATAACCCAGTAGCCAATAGCCCTCTCTTTACAACCTCTCTTTGCCCTTGCCTTTTACAAGGTGCGGCCGTCTCTTCCATCTCCTTTCGGACATCAATTCGATATCAGTTTGCCGATTCGTATTGATCACACCCTTTCTTTCCCTTGCAGTATCTTTAGAAAAGGAAGAAGAAAACCAGCGACAGTCACTAGCTCGGCAACTCTCATTGGCAGGGGCGCGCAAAAGGCTACCTAGGCTAGGCTAGCAAAAACTTTCTTGAAGTAACGTTGCCAAGGTTGTGCAAATATGTATACGGAGTACGAGCTTCCAAGTTACCCGTCGGGACCTAGGGTTTTGTGGCTTGCCCTTAGCATCATAGCCATAGCCTCATCGGCACTCAGCCTCAGATTCTAGCGTCAGGCCCTATTTACCAGTAAGCTTTAGGGAACTGGACCTGACGACGTTGATAAATATAACGTGGAGCCTCCGTTCGGATTCGCAACAGGGCCTCCGGCTCTATTGTGGGAATCGGCCCATGGAGAAGTCCGTGATGAACAGTAGGTTGGACTTCACCATCGGTTCGCAAACGCCACATAACGTGAGCTGTTCATCTAGTCTTTATTCAGGTGACATCGGCGCGTCAACATTCTGCGGGTATGGCCAGGACAGAACTAGACAACAAGGCACGATACTCAAGTTGAGGGAATTAACAAGGCTGGCCATACAAATCCGACGGCGGCTCGTATCTTTGTCGCCATCAGCACACCTCATCCCCGCACGCAGTTACTGCAAGATCAGGCTGAATGACCACTCACCTCGATTCTTGCGTTAATCAGCCCATCGTGAGCAAGAACAGATAACGAACGCGATGGTGGCCAACACAGTGGTCGGTAGCCCTTCTGGATCTCGAGATCTCGTGGGAGCGAAATCCTGGCCAGAGCACTTCGTTGCGGGGATTTGCTGTTGAGTCCAGCGACTGGAAAAGCTCTGCATATTTGCGCTCTATGTAAGCTTATCGAGCTGCCTTGTCGATTTGGCCCAGGCTGCATCACTGAGTGGGGGTCTATCAACCCGAGCAGCCCTTTTGGCGTACTGCCATGACGCTCGAGCCTTGCGAGTAGTGGGTGGTCTAGGGGAGGAAAGAAAACACAGGACCTTGACCCTAAGCAATAAAAATATTTAGGTAAATCTAGCCTAAGCTTAGGGGAGTTTTTCCCAAGCTTATTTAGACACCCTATATCAAGGTCTGGTGTTTTCTTGCTCCTCGAGGGTGGTCTGAGAGCTGGAGCAAGGAAGCGTTTGGCTCAAGTGTCGATCTACGGTGCTGCAGAAAATTGTGCCGCTACTCTACGGTGAGATGGGGTTCGTGATGATAATGGTATTCTCATTCTCGCACGTGGGTTATCAGCAAGTTTAATTAGGCAAACCTGGCAGATCATTCCTCGTCCCAACCATTTTCGTAGACTGTCGCATGGATGCCGGTGTGGAGGCTGGTAGCCTGGTAGGTGGTATTCTGGTCTCCAGATACGGTAAACTGGAGGCTGTTCTCCTTGTTTCGTTTCATAGACGTATTGCTCACACAAGATGCAGCGATTTCCACTGCTTGTTTTATCAGTGACTGCTCAGTTCAGAAACCTCCCGGGCTTGTTGGATATTCCCATAGGACGATCGCTCAACTACAAGTCTGCGACTACACATGCAAACTTATAGGTTGTCGGATATCTCGCCTATTACGTCGTGGTGTTGAGTATACGCTTCATACATGTTGAGACCTTTGCAAGCTTCTAGGGAAAACCGGAAGATCTGTGATTAGCTGTAGGGTAGTCTGCTCGATTGCTAGAATGATCAAAATTATACTGCTAGAATAATCATAGTTATCATGGATAATGTTGGATATATCCATCCAATGATATTACATTACTCGGCCCCTGGGAACAGCTGAGATCACCTGTGTCTGTCAGTAATGCAGTATGCTTCATGCACTGACTACTAACAATGTCCTTCCAGCACTTAGGGCCTGTGGACTGCTGCTACACACTATCTTGGCTCCCTACATAGTAGATAGTATTGTACTCATAGCCATGAAACTACCTAGTACCTACGGCTTTATATCATGGTACTGTCTTTGGATATGTTTTGACAGTACCACATACACACACGATACTGTAGCATCTCATCATATCGTGACGTTGTGTTCTTAATGCATCAAGAACAAAGCATGCCTAAGGTAATATCGCTCTATATGCTCCAGGGTAATCACCTCTCATAGTAGACTATTGACCATACCTAGGTTTTGACCACAATAAACACCGCTTGCAAGACGCAGGGGCAGGAACTAGTCAGGCACAGAGAGTCCTTGTGATATCACATCGATCAAAATCATTTGCATGCGCTCATCAATCAGCTACGCCGACGTCCACTTGCAGGGCTGAATATGAGACGTGTGAGGCCAACTTCTTGAAACTTGTCAAGACTGTTTGTTAGAGCCTGTACTCCTAAGGGGTGCATCGAGTATGGGTGGGTCATGTCAATAAAATGGCAACTTGGTCACGGCGAGTTGACTGAGCATCACTTATTCGTTCAAGTTCACATGTAGACTCAAGTGCAGGCTCAGACATTTGACAATCTACCCAAGTAAGAGTAGATGGATATTACGCAGTAAGCCGAATTACCAGCATAGGTATCTTATTAGCCCCTGATAAGACGCAAGAGAAGAAGATAATAAAGAAAAAAGGCTGGTAATCGCTCTGGTTGCACGACTTGCAGCAAACGATTCTGATTCGATTATCCAGACATGCAGAGGCAGGTGAGTGAACGGGGTGGGAGAGGTGCTTTCGATCCTGAATGGTTGGTCCAGGCAACACTTATGCTGGCATGCAGAAACTCAAGCCGGGTTGCCATTCTTTCATGGTGGCTCTGCCACAAACCCGGCAGGGTTTCGCTTCAACACGGCGGATTTGTCCCCGAGAGAAACTTGATGGTGGTGTCATGCGAAGCACTTAAGTTGACCCCCAGAACTGCGATTCAGGTGGCATGGTTTGTTGAAAAGAATATAGAGGACAAACACACGAATGCTAGGGGCAATCGACCGAGGATATATCCAATAGCATTGAATTTGAAACCCAAACCAAGGCTTGCAACATGGTCAAAGAGACATTCAGCCAGCCATCAATCGATCTGGACAACCTTGATTACCGCTACTTATTCCACCACACAAACGATATGAGCGGGGCACTTTGCCATTCTTCCAGCACTCTTGACTCCTTGAGTCTTGATCAAGCTATGATCCTTGCATTTTTCGTCATTCGGCAATCAAGGAGAGGCGTGTGAATACCACTGGACATTCTCTTAGAAGAGGTCCAGAGTATGAACTGCTCGTTTTACCGCAAAAGGATACTACCCCTTCATGGGCCCCTCCGAATCACAAGCCAATGAGGTTATTTAGAGGTACTGTGTCATTAGTATGTTTAGTCCCACGATGCGTTCTATCGGTTTTTTCTTGGGCCCTCGAGGTCTGGGGCTACGAATTGAAAGCATCTGCCCAAAGTTGATACATTCAACATTCAACTCATCGCACTGTCTCAAAGTATGAGGAAACGCCTCAAGTTCTGGGCTTTGACTGAGACGCCTGATTCTGTCCAATAGAAGGGTTAAAACGGCACAATCCAGCCAGCCAGCTTTACCGAGCTACAGACAAAGAACTCAATACCATCCCTTGCGTATGTGAAAGCGCCCTGGAACATCTAGACGCTCTAGCAAGATCCTATCCGCTTACTCAGTTGGCCCCTCCTAAGACTCGGCATTTGCCCTACGACAATGACAATGTGGACAGTACAGCCCTGACACTTCTATTATTGCATTGAATTTCTTTGCGCATAAATCGGTAAGCCAAGAGGCTGCAACTCGAAATAGAAGTCCTGATTTAGCACTCAGAAAACGAATTGTATCAATCCAATGGCCCCCAGCGCAGCTTGTGGTTGCGTCAGTGGTCCAGTGTCAGAAACCAGAACCGCCAATCCTCACTGAGAATGGAAGGACTCGACGACTCGCTCCTTCTTGCACTGGGTGACTCGACCTCATTGAACGTGCAGTGGAGTGGAGTGGAGAGAGGAAGGAAGCCTGTTGGCCCGGGCCACTGCAGGTCGTAAAATGCATCACTGGGGCCACTGAATATGACTTCGAGACCACTGAGGGCTACTAGAAACTGGCCCTTTAGCTTGTCCCGCAGCTGCCCCCCCTCCCTCCTTCTCGATCCTTGACAGACTACCAGACAGGACTTGCTTCTTCTGGGCTTCCATGGCTGGGTTCCTCCACTCTCCCGTCATCTACAGGTTAGTTAGTGGGTAGGTGCTCTAGACTCTAGGTACTCACTCTTATTCCTCAAACAGTGCCTCGCCAATTCTCTCGCTATCTCACCTCACCTCAACATCTCGTCCCTGTCCCATCTCTGGCATTCTTCCTTTGATCTCCGTCAGTAGCGACTGGAAGCTGAGATCATCCATCATTTCATGTGCCGAGTTTGACGTGATTCCAACTGGAGATTTCTTACTGCACTCATCTCATCCCAGTATGCGCACTCGACTGTCGCGCTCGACACTCAACGCAACTCTGTAAGCCACGTTTGCGATTATGTTCGGGTACTAGTTCGCGTTCGAAGCTGCTCCTAACTCTCGCTCTGCTTAAGACCCGTCATTCTTCAAGCGCGTCGCCTCCCTACTTGCATGTCTCGGAGTACCGTCTGACCTGTTCCTGTTGTGTTCCGCAACTGTTCCAAAACCCTGCTTCCTGTCCGATGGCAGCCAGCATGCCAACACCAAACCGTTCCAACATCGTTGCCGCGAAGCAAAAGTTGTAAAAACCTTTTATCTAATAAAAGCCATGCTATCAGCACACTCTATTCCATCGCCAGTCATGATGGCCCCCCCCGCTGATTATCCGCTCCAAACACAACACGAGACCAGCCCAACCAGTCAATTACAATTCAAAAAGCACAAGATTCTTCCACGACCTCGATCCGAAAGGACCTCCGAATTACCGATTCGAGTTTCTAGCCCTTTAATCAGACATGACCTGGCTACCAACAGTTCTGTTTCTGGCAATGGAAAGCATCCATCGAGCCCACGAACTCTCAAACATCAGTCGCGAAGGATAAGTAGTGGTCCAGATCTACCACCAACCCCGCCGAGACATTCGCGCCAGCCGTCGGAGAACTCTTCTGGCAAGACAAATAGCCCAGCTGCGACCGATATCGCATTACGAACTCCCCAGCCATCACATCTGCGTCCACCCACCACGCCTCCTAATCAGAAGAGCCCGCCTACGCCCGATGTGACGCCGCCTCATTCCACAAGTCGCCCGCAATTACTAAGGCCCATTGCTAGTGACCGTGCTGGTTCAAGTACTACAGCTGGTGAATCGCAATCTGGTTCCTTCACAACTGCGCGAGAAGAGCCTTTATCATCCGAAGACGAAGACAAGTCTGTTGTCAATCAGAGTTCACGACCAACTGTACGCAAGATCTTTGACCCAGATTCTCGTGTCGACAGGTCTGAAAACCTCGGTTTGGCTTTGGGCAACCTGGCACCTCACTCGGAAGGGAGCAGTACGTCCAGGTCACCAGCAGGAGATTGGGCTCATAACGACAGCGACTGGGGCTCTGTCAGTGAGGTAGAGCAAGAATGGGACCACAATTTGCAAAGACTGGTGACTGTGAAGAAGAGGCCTGAAGCACTTCTTATGCCTCGTTTAAGCCCAAACAGGGCGAGAGTCGTGGAGCCCAACTCAATCATACCGACACAAGCAGCTAAAGCTGTGCGCGGAATGCCTTTGCACCAAACGACAGAGACACCGACGGAGACACTTCCGCGAGGCACCTCGAGCCGTGATATCCCCCCCTCGGCTACATCAACCACAATCGCAACCTCTGACCCACGTAGGATGTCGGCCGTCTCTACTAAATCCACTGTCTCGACTGTTGTGGAGGCCTATCTTTTGGACACAGTCCCCAAGAGGCAGAGGACATTGCGTCATGTGCGAAAACAGACCATTCTGAGAGACTCCACCAATGAGTCTTCCACCTCAATCGGAACCTCTCCAAAGTCGGACAGATCGCGTACTGATTCATGCGATCGAAACCGTTCAATTGCTCCGAAGTCAGAAAGCCAATACTCGAACGCGACACTTAATTCTATCTCCAGCAGTAGGGCTCGACGCGAAGTCTGGAAAGCAGGGGGCATACCTGTGGTGGTTGTTCCTAGTCGACTATCATCACACAAAACCAAGTCCAGAGAGCCGTCACTGAGGTCGCACTCTAGCCGAAAGTCGAGCCGCACCACCAGCGCCAGCCCTACGCTGAACGGTAGATCAACGAAAGATGAGCCTCCCATTGTGCGGCGTCAATTGAGAGGTCGATCTTACTCCACGTCCGAAAGCTCTGATGAGAGAACCATGGACTACCCACCTATCGTGCCTGCTCGCTCGTCCTCTCTATCGGCTCCTACTAGCCGTAACGGTTCAAGAGCCAGTTCCCTGACAACGGAGAGTATGAAGCTTCATAACGCCTTGCAGGAATACCTGAACAAGAAGAAGGACATACCTAGAGTGCCCGATCTTCGCTTCTCAGAAGACACGCCAGGGGCACGAACGTTTTCCAATGCCTCAGAAAGTCACCGTCGGTCAGGTTCTGAACGCCATGACGACTTCTTGAACACAAAGGGACATGGCTCACAAAACACTCCATTTTCGTTGGCTTCAGTCGATACAAATGGGACCAATCCAGTGGTATCAGAAGCGCTCGCAGTGCAGATGTACCCACACCAGAACTCGTCCCTATTGATGATAGATCATTCGACGAAACCCTCTGAGTCGCCAGACGAGACCCAATCGGAGGCAGAGGAAGATCTGGATGTGCCAATGCCGACTGATTCCTCGGAGGACATTCCAACCACACCTCCTCAGCCAAAGTTTTCTCTTGACGATGTCGACTCTCCTCTCCGAAATCCGCGAGCGCCTCCCGAGCCACCTAGCCACCCACCAGTTATCAACTTCATCCCTGCCACCCCATCAGGAACGACTCCAGCTCATGAGAAAATGGCACAAATGGGCAACTACTTTGAGTCGATGAACGAAAAACCCCCTCGTCGTCCTTCTGTGGTACGCCGCGCTTTCAATCGTACACGACGCCACTCGGTTGATTATACATCGTCCACTCGAAGACCTTCGAGCTTCTTGTCGCGCACTCTGTCCCTTTCGCGTATCGGGAGGATAAGAGGAATGCCCACTATGGAACGTGAACCAGCGTATCTTGGCTCCGACGATAGCCCCGTGGAAGAAAACAAATTGCACCCTTTTTGGCGCCCTCAGTGGTCTAGTGAGGACTCAGACGAGTGCGACGGATACTGTGACGATGACTGTGATCTGCACTGGTCAGATGAACTCCGTGATCAGACCTACCAATATCCTCCGGTAGACAACCGACCGAAAGGACCTCAGAGAAGCTTCAGTGCCAGGATGAAGCGCACATTTGCCGTCCTGCCGCCTCGTGATGGTTCCTACTACACTAGCTATGATTGGCCCACTACGGAGCGTCGCACTATTGGGCGAACTCCAAGTGGTAACCTCCGAGTCATGAGACATCGGTCCAGTGTTGAATCTCTACGACGAAACTACAACGATGACGAGAGGCCACATTCGGCGGATGGGGAAGTTAAAAGATCATTCTGGCGAGCCAATAACATGCACAGGCGCGCTAATAAAGAAAAGAGAAGGCTTTCCCTGGGAAGCAAATTAGAGGAGTTGCAGAACCTCCCGCGCAAATTCAGCGAGAGGCGGCGTGAGAAGCGATCACAAGAACTTCGCAAGAAGATAAGTGGGCCAAAGGAAGTTCGTGATGGGGTTGGAGAAGTCATCAGATCGAGCGCAGCTCGCGATCATTACAAGTCTCTCAATAGGAACTGATCATGCTGAACAACTGATCAGGTTTACTGGTGCAGATGGCATTCTTCGTGTACCAGGGGAGGTAAACAATTTCCACTGCTCGTTGCAGGAGATATAAGACAAAAGATTCATGACTGATGATTCACGCTTTACGACACGAATGATGGAGGGTTATGAAAATGATATTGCTTATGATTTGCTATCTGGGATTTTTGTTTTTGTTTTTTTGAAGAGATTCTATATGGGAGCTGGTTGGAGGATACTTGACATTGAAGAGAGTTGCTCTCGTGTATGATAATTACCAGGACAGATGCACACACATGAATATACACACACAATATTTGCCTGACTAATGTGGCAGTAACGGGACCATGTATTCCTGTGACTATCCAATAAACCAAAATTGATAGACGCCTGGTGCTCATTTCGTGCTCGGGAGCCCACCTCTTACTAAAGAAAACATTTACCTCGCAGTATCTCCAACTGAAAATATTTTCCATTTTCCCAGTTATGGTCTAACGCCCAATTCGCCAATGATGCTATGGTTATAATCAGCCCAAACCTTATCCTTGCCATAGAAATGGCACTCATCGCTTCTCATGTCCAGGAGCTCCGGCTCCAGGAGGAGCAAATCCGTGTGGTGGAAATCCTTGGCCGGGCGGAGGCATGCCAGGCATGCCAGGAAAAGGAAGAGGGGCACCGCCGGAAGCACCAGGTCCTCCTGGAGCACCCGGAGGAGGGAACGGGAAGCCGCCTGGAGGAGGAGGGAATGGAAGACCGTTAGGAGGTACTGGCATGCCATTGGGCCCAGGGAATGGGGGCATCGGGGGCATGCCTCGACCACCGCCAGGAGGGGCTGGATCCTGTCAGAAATGGTTTCGTTTTTGAGGGGGGGAGATGTGCTTACGGGGTAGTCCTTGAGGGAATTGTCCAGGAGGCGCACCTGGCATCCCCGGGAAAGGCGGAGGAGGGATACCTATTCATGTGTAAGTACTCCTGATGCCTAATTATCATGGGATCTTCTTCCTTACCACCTGGGAACGCAAAAGGAGGGGGAGGAAAGCCCTGTCCTGGTTGATTTTGAGGAAGCATAGGATTTGCGTGTGCTTGGCCTTCGGCAGCGTAAGAAGAGGTGATGGAGTCGATGACGGATTGAGCCTTCTCGTGGCCGATTTCTGTGAAGGACGTCAGTTTCATACTATAATATGACCTCCAGACTGGACACACGTTGGTAATAATCAACTACGTTTCGCAAATGGTTTCGACCACTGTTATGAGCCTTGCGGACGCTCATGGAATCGTGCGTGAGGTAGACATCGCAATAATCGCCTGGGAACAAGTTGTTAGTTGGAGGGGCCTTTGTTGATTCGGGCGCACGAGGGACGGGGCTTACAGAAGACTGTGATATGAGTTAGCGAGTGTTTCCTCTTGGAGCTATGTAGTTGGTTAGGAGGCAGGCTTACACTTGGGCATCTTGAAGACCTGTGCGATCGCTCTTGTTGAAGTAATCAGCCGGTGATAGTGATGGTTTGTAATTAGACTGTGATGTTCAGGCGCGAAAACGGACTGAAGTTGACGAGGCTGGACCCACACGTGATGGAGGCTACAAGGCAGGTGCCAAATTCATATCATTGGTCGCAAGTTAAACGTAGGGGGTCTCCCGTATGTGGGGCACAGCTCAACTGGGACACCTTTCAGTTTAGACCCAAGTTCATGTTGAAGCCCCTTGACTGCCTCAAGAACTACTTTACGTAGCCTTTCCTCTCCGACTTATCATCCACGATACGATAAAATACGATTATTGGAGAGGGAGATCAACTTCTACCACAAAGTGTTTGACCACGGCAATGGCCCTCCAAAAGAAATTGGTGCAGTATATCTGCAGCCTTCTGCTGCTTGTTAGCGCTGCCAACGCTTTGAAGTTCGACCTGATCGCACAAGCAGAGAGCTCAAAGAGGGAACGCTGTGTGCGCAACTTTGTCGGAAAAGACACACTTGTCGTGGTGACAGCGACAGTCGATGGCTACAAGGGCGATGGCATGGTGGTGAACCTCTACGTACGTTGCGCACATATGCATGCAAGTCACAAAGCAAAACTGACATAGCTTTGCAGATTCGAGATGCCGTTGGCAACGAGTACGGTCGACCCAGAGACGTTGTCGGGGAATCGAGGACCGTCTTTACATCACATGCTGACGCTGCTTTTGATGTTTGTTTCGAAAATATTGTTACTGGTTGTATGTGATGGTCCCTGATCGTAGCATGTTTGGTGGTTTCGTTGCATACATGCTCTGCTCTAATCTATTGTTTAACATGCTGACAATTCTTCAGCCCAGCGAATCAACAACCCTACCCGCCATGTTGAGCTCGATATCGACATCGGTGCCGACGCCAAGGACTGGTCCGCCATCCAGGCCACCGAGAAGCTCAAGCCTGTTGAGGCTGAGCTCCGCCGCATCGAGGAAATTACTGGCGAGCTTGTCACCGAGATGGAATATCTCCGCGCCCGAGAGCAAAAGCTTCGAGACACCAACGAGAGCACCAACAACCGTGTTAAGTGGTTCGGTATCGCTACCACTTGGTTGCTTATTGGTCTCTGGGCCTGGCAGATCATGTATCTCCGTGCCTACTTTCGATCAAAGCATCTTATTTAAGAGACTGGTTTGTATGCGTGCTATCTATTGGGACGGGAGCCTCTTTCGAGCCTCGAACAGTCGGCTATTCCGGCCCGGAAGACCTGTTTAGAGCGTTGGAGCTACCTATATGATTGTGTCCCTCCGCCTTGATTTCGATTGGCCATGCTGGCGGTTTCCGGGCATGCTCTTATTAGAATCCGTAGCATGCAGGATTGGGACTGAGAAACCTACCTTAGGCAAGGTTTGGGTCCTGGCAATTTGGGGTCTATGTGTAACAAAAGTCATGGAAAGAGCAATAATCTTACGTACGTACACGAAGTATTGACCCAACAGAACTGCACACGACTCATGACTTAGTGTTGTGAGGTCTGTTCAGTCGAGTAAACCCTATCGATATGTCAACCAGACAGTAGGCAACGCAGCAACAAAAGCTTCCAGGCACCATGGAAACTGAGCCTGTAATGAATACTTCTCTCAGCGTTTGCGCGATTGATTATGTAATTTTTTCACGAAGTCTTTTCAGCTGGCATGTGTGCAGCTATTTTCAAGCTGCAGTTATAACAGCCAACTACAATAAAAACAACCTACTAACCGTAATAAAGCTTTGCCGGCTATATGAGACATATCTGTTTGAACTCCTTTAAGAGTTCTGGAGATGATTGGGTATATCTTTCAAGGCTACTTAACTTATACGTTTTGTTTAAATACCTATATAAAAAGACCATTGAAAATCAACAAATCCTTTTCGTATATAAAATAGCCGAATTTCCTTGAGTGACTACCTATGATAGACGACTAAAACCTCTTAGGTATCTTCTCATATCTACCGAAATAAACAAAAATGGCCACGTTAGGAAGGAATCGAGTTTGCGACACGTACGAGATACCTGTCTGGGGCATCATTCTGATTGGTGCGCTGTCATTTATCCTACATCTGAGGAAGGTGCCCCTCCAAACCCACTCCTGCCATTGTCAATTGCAAGACCCCGCGGTGCCGCAACTTGCCAAAGAAACGAAACCAACTCGAAACTGCACAACATGGCGGACCTCAACCCTCCCAAAACCGCCGTTCAAGACCAGGATATCAATCCTTGGTCAGTAGAGGGAGCTCAGGGCGAGAACGGTGAAGTTGCTGCCATCGACTACGACGCCATCTGCTCGTACGTGCTACCCCTCTTAGACTATATGATGTGACTAACACTTTGGAAACAGGAAGTGGAATACCTCAAAGATCGACCAAGCGCTTCTCGAGCGATTCGAACAGGTGACTGGCAAGAAGCCTCATCGCTGGTTACGACGCGGTCTCTTTTTCAGCCACCGCGACTTCGACAAGATCCTAACAAAGTACGAGCACGGCGAGCCCTTCTTCCTCTACACTGGCCGAGGACCCAGCACCGGCAGCCTTCACCTTGGTCACACGATTCCTCTCGAGTTCACAAAGTGGCTGCAGGATGTCTTTGACGTGCCATTGGTTTTCATGTTGACGGATGACGAGAAGGCTTTATTCAAGGATAGCCTGTCATTCGAGGACACCCACAAATACGCTCTGGAGAACGCCAAAGATATCATTGCTCTTGGCTTTGATGAAAAGAAGACCTTTATTTACAGTGATCTGGAGTACCTGGGGCATCACTTTCTCATGAACGCCTATGAGTTTTCCAAACTGGTAACTTTCAACCAGGTTCGTGGAGCCTTTGGCTTCGACGGGAGGTGCGTCAAATCGTCCACGTATCTACTTACCGCAGCACTAACTAATTGCAGCGCCAACATCGGCAAGATCTTCTTTCCAGCAGTGCAATGTAGCGCTGCTTTCGCTACATCCTACCCCGAGATCTGGTCTGATGACCCTTCTCCCGTTCGCACTAAGGCACTGGGCAAGATCCAGTGCCTCATCCCCATGGGCATTGACCAAGATCCCTATTTCAGGCTCATCCGCGAAAACGCCCACAGGATGAAGAACCCGTCACCGAAGCCTGCTTTGATCCATTCCAAATTTCTCACCGCGCTGCAGGGTGCCGGTGGCAAGATGTCATCATCAAACCCCAACTCAGCCATCTTTATGACCGATACAGCGAAGCAGATCAAGGTAAGGTTGCATGCCATACAACTGAGATGCAGAAGCTAAAACTCATTTACTACAGAACAAGATCAACAAGTTTGCCTTCAGTGGTGGCCGCGAGACCCTCGAAGAGCATCGTGAGAAGGGAGGAAACCCCGACGTAGATGTGGCCTACATCTATCTCACTTATTTCGAGGATGACGACGAGAAACTACAAAAGATCTACGACGACTACAAGAGCGGCACTCTTCTCACTGGTGAGTTGAAGAAGATGGCAATCGAGGCCCTGCAGTCTGTTGTAGAGACCTTCCAAGACCGAAGGAAAGCCGTCACCGACGAGGTCCTCAGGTCGTACATGAAGCCTCGAAAACTTCAGTGGGCTGGGAACCCAAACCCCAAGCCTAAAGAGTCGAAGCCAAAGGGAGAAAAGAAGAAAGAGAATGACGAGAAGAAGACCGAGTTGCCTGACCGTACTGCGGAGAAGTCGGCCTAGATATCGTGCCCACGACAGGTGATTGTCCGTTGTAGAAGAAATAAAGCTAGCATTGTCAAGGATAAAATGGAGTTACGACTCTCCCTGTGTATATATATCAAGTTCTCCTCTTTGCTGTGAAAACTCTTGTTAGTCGTTTCTTCATGAAGGTATTCCCTGTGTAAGTTAACTACCGAACCCTGTCCATGACATGCTCCCCCGGGCCCACCCGCTCCGGGTCAGAAATTACCATTCGGCCGCGGCTCTTTAAAGTCTCGGAACCTCGACGTCAACGACAGACAAGCGCTTCTTATTTGCCACTACTCTCCCGATTTATAGTCTTTTGCCGACTTCACAAGACAGCATCACTCTGCGATATTTCCATCGCCTGAAAAAACTATCCTGGAAAAGACCACCATGACCTCCCTCATTTCGTGCACTATGCGCCCAGCCGCCCTACGCCGCATTGTCTATGTGCCCGTTAGACCACTCACCACAACAGTCTCACGGCGATCTGATAATGTCTCATCCTCGGAGCTTAAGGTGGGCGAACTTCAGGGTGCCAAGTTCAGAATCGAACCTCTACGCCGGGTGGGTGAGGATGACGCTACCAAGCGGGCTCGCCTTGTCTGTACGTTTCCAACTGTCAATTGATCAAGAGGACTATTGCTGATTCCATTCAATAGACCAGTCGCGAAAACGAGGTACCTTAGAATCTGACCTTCTGCTATCCACCTTCGCAGCCGCCCATCTGCCCACGTTGTCCCCAAAGCTTCTCGACCAGTATGACTTACTCCTCGACGAAAACGACTGGGATATTTACTATTGGGCGACGCAAAAGGAGCAACTGTCCACGACGAACCCTTCGTCCGCCCAATCACCATCTACCGCTGACATCGAAGCAAAGCCTGAGAGCGATCAGGTTACTCGGCATCCCCCTTCGGGCGAATGGGCGCAGACTGTGGGCAATTTCAAGCCCGCCTACAGGCCCGTGCCTGCGCGCTGGAAGGACAGTGAAATCCTTGAGAAGTTGAGGGTCCATGTGAGAAGCCGGAGCGTTGACGGTGGCGAGGGTGGTGGTATGGGTTTCATGCCTCCTCTTGAGCCACCTGAGGTCAAGAACTAGAATTTAAATGGGACGCTCAAGAAGTTGTCGAGAACTGTATTCCAAAGAACATCACGCAAAGTCATTGTACTATACGTCTAGCATCATGTATTATCATGGCCATGGGGCCTAGAGTCTTAAATCTCAAGATAGGTCCTCCGTGTCGCTTGGAGGAGCACTGAATACAAGCGGGGAACGAAATAAGGAGTGTGTGCATTCGAGTGATTTTTCAATTCGCTGAACCACGTAAGTGTGGGATCTCCTTTGCATACTGGCAACTAATAAAGCAAGTATAACCAATCCATCCAAACTCCTCATGCCTCCGACCTGGTTCGCAAACTCCGTGGGATATCGTCTCATGACCTCAGCCCTAGAACAAATGCAGCAAAGAGAAACCACCAAACAAGAATAAAAAACGGCGCATCAAGTACCTGAGGGCCATGACAAGAAAGCAACGGGAATGAAGAAGCGGGCTCAGAAGAAGAAGAAGGGGACGCATAATCTTGTCTTTTCTTGTCTCGTCTCGTCATCAATATCATAGGCTGAAGAAAAGGGGGTCATGAATAAAAACAGAGGGTATCAAGCCGTTCGTTCCAAATTCAAGGTATCGCACCTTCAACCACCTCCTTCAGGCAGAATGTTCCCTAGACTCCTCAGAACTTCGATAACCGGCATGTCCCTTGTTCCCACACTCGCCTTCTCTCGCTCCTCACGTTGTCGAAGACGAAGGGCGCTCACACTAAGAACCTTGTCCGCTTCTTTGCCCGCGACCACAACCCGCTGCTCGAGCTTGTGAACGTTATCGGCAAGTTCGTCAATCTGAAATTCGAGTGATGACTGGATACCGCGCAATCTTGATTCTGTCTGTAACCTAACAGCATCGAACGACGCTTTCTCATCTGCAAGGAAGCCTCTGATTTTGCCTTCTTCTGAGTCCAAGAGATCAAAATCGGGCAGAACGATAGGTCCGATCTCGTCTTCAGGGAAAAGAGGTGGTTGTTCCGGCGGAGGTTTCCGTATTGCTTGCCAAGCTCTCTTCTCACCTTGTAGTCTATGAAGGAGGTTAGTGTCGAGTCTAGTCAGTCGCGTAAATAGATATACCTCTTAATGTTGATTTCAAGCTGAGCCAATTTCTCGTCCAACTCCATGTTTCTGGGATTGGGTTTCAGCACAACAGGTGCTTTTGGGGCATCGTCCTCTCGGCTGAACCAGTCCGAAAATTCGGATTTGGCCGCAAAGTCTTTCAATAGCAGATCCTGAATGGCACGAGCTATTTATAATCAGTATTCAAGCATGACATGAATTATCTCAAAATGGTACTCACCACCGAGAATGGCGTTAGAATTCGGTGTGCCATGAGGAGGCTTCCCTGATAGCGCGCGCTCGCCGCACCATGTTAACAACTGCTTCATACGTCGAGGTTCTGTCAGGCCTTCGGCTTCAATGTGTTTATAGAAATCCGCGGGGTTGACCTCTCGATGAGGTATTGCTGTTTGTCCACTCTCGATCAAAGAGCTCGCCCTTCTTCCGCGGTTACCAAGGCTGCTCCGCCTGTTGGAACTGCCCCCTTTCTTTCGCATCTCTTTGTTCCGGTTGATAATGGGCGTGTCGCTCATAGGCAGGGCGATCGTGGCCGACTGCGCAGGCATTTCGCGTTGCGGTGACTTGTCCCAATCCGGGGGCGGTCGAGTGGACTTTGCACGGCTCCCTCGTTTCTTGGAGGCTCCGTTGACACGGGGAGCTGGTGCCGGTTCAGATACTACCTCTGGTTGGGGCCCGGGATCGGCCTCTGGTGCTGACGCTGCTTGAGGAACTACTTCATCCTGGGAGTCCCCCGACCTCCGTGTGCTCCTCCTAGTCGATGATCTTTTAGGGACATTAGTTTGTCGCCCTTCTGACGCGTCAACACTCGCTTTTCGTCTACTACTCTTTCTTGTCGTAGGTTTCGTCGTAGTGTTTATTTCGCTCTCTGTAGGCGCCTCCTCCGCAATGGTTCCATTCGTTGTCGGCGCCTTAGCAGCGCGTTGCTTCGGAGGTCGTCCCTTGGTATTTCTTTTGACCGGCTCCGCCTTTGGTTCTGGTTCTGGCTCTGGTTTTGATTCGTCTGACTTATCCGTCTTGGGTCGTTTCGATTTTCGAACAAATGCGAAATCATCGTCATGCTCATAATCTGTCGCCGCCGCTGCATTTCGACGGTCAGCGGGTCGTCTCTTGTGAGCGCCATCACCTTCGTCATCAATCAACCTACCAGCGAGACGCTTGCTCGATCGCCGCCCGTGCTCGTTGCTCATGCTAATTACTTGAAGCGGCCGCCGAGTCGTCACCAGAGTCGTCATGAGTGGCGCATTCGGGACCGTCGACGATGCGTTTTTTTTTTTAATTCTGGGGTCGTGATGCTGGGGAGTTGTCGTTGCGGTGCGGCACTGATGGAGATGCTAAAACTGTCGCGCAGGGTGCAAGAGGCGCGTCGCGTCGCGATTCTCGTGTACGAGCTGCTCAAAAAAAAAAAGCTGTATAAAAGGCTCAGGTGCTATCGCAATGCAATTCGGACGGTTTGATCTGTTTACGGCTTCATAGATGGTGATGGATGGTTCGCGACGTGGATGTGACTGTTTAAGCGCATCGCCTTGTTTACATGAGAGATGATTTGGTTGTTCAACGCTAGACCCAATTGGACCGCTACCAGACCCCACCTTCAAATCCTTTTACCCAGAGGTTCACCATGAGCCAGTGGAGCAAAATTCAAATAACGTCAATGCTAACTTAACTCGAACAGCTTGGTACGACGGCTATGAATTATCAAGTTGGGTCTATGTTCCAAATAAAAAGAACAACTCAAATATGGCCGTGCCGTCACTCATAGCATCTTCAGTGATAGTCTCACGCATCAATTAGCTTCTAGAAGCTACCACTGAAGTGATGCTACAACCTAAGTGTAAAGTAAATACATCAAATCACCGGTGAAACGATATCATAATATATACTCTTCGTGTTTCATATTGCAACTATCGTTCATCTCAATCGTAGCTTGTGTTGCTTGCAGCTACGTACAAAATCACAAAACCAAAACACCAAGAAATTGATCTCCAGGAACCGAATTCCCCAAAACGCCCTCCACCTAAGTTGGCAAAAAGGTCAACCTGGCCAAACACCTTTTTGAGCTGCGCGTTCCGTGTACCTTGCTCGGAAATACCTTACGTACAAGTTAAAAGTTGTAACGGCGCTGCCTCTAGTAAGAAACGCTCAAGAGAGAGCGGCCTCCTCGTGCAAAACAAGAGCGTCAAGTGATCTCCAAGTGAAGCTCGACAAACTCCTGGTCTCAGACATCGCCTCCGTCTGGATGCTATGTTGCCTCCGATCAAATGTTGTACAGCTCAAATGTGAAATGAATTTGTGAGCCGATGAGCTTCCGGTGGGATAAACCTAAACCTTGTATATGCATATAATAAATAGTTACCTCGGTGAGGTCGAATGGTGTCGTGATTGAGGAAAGAAAGGGTCGTCAAGTCCATGCATTATGTGGTTCGATGGAGAAGCGTGGTTAAGTTGCTCAACCTTGACAAACTGTCCTAACTGGGGCTGTAACTCGTTCTATGAGAAACGCCGCTGAACACCCTGGCCAGCCATAACTTGCTGGTTTGGCATAGGTGCTGCCATGCCATAAGGGTTAATCTGAGGGTTGAAAGGCTCGACAACCTGGGACAAAAAAGCACCATGTATTCCCTGCTGCTGAGTAACTGGGCAGTCCTTGTGGGCAAGAAGAAGCGTCTTCAAATTGACGACTTCTTCTCTAAGTTGTGTTATCTGCGCCGTCAAGGCGTCGTTCTCAGTACTGAACATTTCGACCTTGGTCTGTAAGTTGGCCAACCATTGCTTTTTTCGCTGGCGGCATTTAAGAGCAGCGACACTGTACAGAAGTTAGTCATAAATAATAAATGGAACCATCATGTACATACCGGTTACGCTCAAGGAAGTTCTTGCGTTTCTCCTCGTCAGTCATCTTGGACTTGGAGCCACCATCTTCATACTTCATCTTGGATTCGTCATCAGACATATCCATATCCATAGGCATTGAATTGTTAGCCTTGGACTTCTTATTAGCAGGAGCCTTTGCGGGAAGCTCATCCGCCTTCCTGCGACCGTTCGTCGCGGGGGGGTTCTTCTTGCCCCGACCACGGGTATTAGGTCGTGCCTGTTCGCTCTCATCCGACATCATGCTTCCTTCACTCATACCACGAGCTGAGCCAATAGAGCCGCCGTTAACACTGGACATTTGAGGTGACGTATTCATATTCTGAGGCGCGACAGGGGCAGGATGGGCGTGGCCAGGTGCACCTGACGTCACTGCGAATTGGTTCGCGTTTTGAGCTCCGTTTCGACCCTGGGCTAGCATAAAAAGGCCGTTGGCAGCGTCGTTATCGTGAGGGTCGAAAGGCCCGGACGCGGACTTCGCTTCGGACTTATTGGTTGAAGCACCGTTGGGCATTTCTTGGGGTTGAGAAGTGACAGAAGGCTGTTGGGGTTGCTGTGCTTGGGAAGTTTGCTGGGCTTGAGGACGTGGAGCAGTGCCGTTTTGATCACGTTTGGCTGCAGCACTCATCGCAGTGCGATGGAAATCGAGAGTGCTGGGTGTTGCTCCACCGCTAGCAAGCTGAGCGAAGAGTGCTTGGGAGTTAGGGCTGGGGGCAGGGAACATAGAACCACTGCCACCTGGTGTCAAACCCGTCCTCAAGGAGGATTCGTTAGGAGTAGGAAATCCGCCACGAAGATGATGTGTATCGCCAAAATAATCATTAGCCGGACCAGAAAGCATTGCCGGACTCAGAGGGCCGGTACGTAAGGAGCCTCCTCCCCAATTGAAAGGTGTCGCGTTGCTACCAGGCAGAAGAGAGGACGGTGATGTCAATGCAGCAACTGAAGGTAGTTTTGTCCCCCCTGGTGTCTCTGGAGCGCCCCCGAAGGACTGCTCGAATGGATTGGGCTCCAGACTGAGAGATCCGCCGGCCTGAACCGCAAAGTAGTCAGGAGTGTTGCCTTGTTGTTGACCAGGTCGAGGAGGAGGGGCAAGAGGTTTGGCTTGTTCGGCATTGGCAGTCTCTAATTTCACGGGAGGATCGGCTGCCTTCGCGTCGGTCGTAGTTTCTGCGACAGGACAAGATGTGAGCAAGCGTTACTGTGAATCGAATGAAGGGGTCTTGGTTCGCGATGACGATGACGGAGGACAAGAGACGGAGAAGGAAAGCGATGACGGAAGTGGACAGAGATGAGGATAGAGAGGGATGATCGATGCCAATGACAAGCATACGTCATGCAACAGGATAGGGTACGGCACGGGGCATATAGGTGTAAAGTCGACGTTGTGATAAACAAGAGGATGGGGAAATTGAAGAACATACCAGGTCGAGCAGGAGAGCTGTTGGATTGCTTGGGGGACTTCGACTCACCTCCAGCAGAGGCTTCAGTTGTAGTCCCCATGATGACGATGATGTATTATATCTGGGGCTGGCAGGTTGAACAGTGCTGGCTGGATTGGAAGTGTGGGGTGGGTGGCAGTAGAGCAGCAAAGATGGAGGAAGACGAAAAAGTCAAATGAGGTCAGAGGCGAAGAAGAACAGAATAGCAGCGCGGCAGCCGTCTGAGACTCTACTATAGGACGGCACGGTTTTAAGAGTTGGACCAGGGGCGATGGCCGCTTTTCGACAAGTCAATAGCGCAGACAGCGCACAGCATACGCTCTGAAACTTCTTCAACCAAGGGAAAGCTTCCTAAAAGCTCGAGCGTGGATGTGAAAGGGATATCTGCATATACTCGGTACTCGGCGTCAACAAGACAGAAGCAGGAGTAAAGAGGCGCGCGTCTCTTCTGTGGACAGAGACAGACGATGTACTAAGCGAAAGATTGGTTAAGAAAGGGGATAAGGAGAAACAGGCGCGAAAGGCGTTCGTGGTGGAGTTGAGGCTCGTGCCTCTCGAAGCAAAACAGACACAAAAAAAAGGATACGATAGATTTGCGCCGTGTTTCGAGGAGCGACAAAGCGGGCGTTGCCTTGCTTGCGGGATTGCGTCGTTGGACGAGGATTGTGAAAGGATTAGATTGAGAAAAGACGTCAGAGATGACGTTGTGGGCAGCGAGGAAAAGAAGGCGCAGAAAAAAAAGACGGCGGCGGCTGGGCTCCTGAAAGCAACTCAAGAAGGCCTGGAGGCGAAAAAATAAGGGAACGGACTTGACTGAGGGGGGCACTAGGCCGGCTGACAAAACCGACAGGCACTGGCCTCGCACCTGGGTACTGGATACACCCTACGCATCTTGACCTCACACTGTATGTAGGCACTGTATTTGATTGCATCGTTCGATCCTCCCCTCCAAAAAGGTCCGGGGATCCAACCAGACGAGTGCGTTTTGGGCGAATCACTTTAGCTCAGTTGCAAGGGAGACAGGGGGGCAACGTTTCATTGATTAGCTAAGGTAGAAACGCAGCATTGAATCTGTAAACAGAAGTGCCATAGAAGGAACCCAGAATGAAAGAAAATCGATCGTGATGGCCGAGCATCATCCCACGAATCGGTGATTCCAGCTTAATGTCGCCGAGCTCTCTCCGCATCATGTGGTTAAGCCATAAGTTAAAATGGTATTCTACAGGTAAATTGTCTTTGTTCCTCCTTATGACTTGTAAATATCGGCAAAGCAATTTTTCAAATAGACTCAACGTTGGAAGTCGTAATTGATTACATACTTTTTCCCAGTTTCCAAACGGGTCCAGTCCAAATCATGAAATGAGTTAATCAGCTTCCAATACTGACACTGTGCGGATGCCAGGCGTGCTAGCATTTTCCCTGTCTCCATAGCTCCACACCCCATTTCCAGCAGGAGCCAGTAAAGCAAGTGGGCACTTAGACCGGAGCATCACCGTCATTCCCACTTCATCCAATCCAATTGGCGCATCTTCCTGACTGATGACGCAAGGAGTGGCCTCGTCAAGCTCATCTTGACAACAGCAATAATTCACCACCCTCAATCTTGGAAATCTCGCGACTGGATCCGTTTTCAGTTCCCTGACTAAACCCGGATACTGTCTCAATTTTGATTGTTTGTTTAGATCAATTAGATTTAAGCTGAGATTGGATACCAGAGCCAAGCTTGAAGCCCTCCATGCTGCTGGTTGAAAAGCTCCGTGCTCCTGGAACTCTGTGTTCCAGTCTGGGGGCGCGCTCCCGAGTCCCGCCCCTTGTCTGGGCATTCATTCTGGAAACCAAGCCCTCGGGGGGAAATAAAACACCGAACTTGAGTA